AAAGGCCTTTGACAAAATTCAACACGCCTTCATGCTGAAAACACTCAATAAACTAGGTACTGATGGAACGTATCTCAAAATAATTTAAGAGCTTTTTATGACAAAACCACAGCCAATATCGTACTGGATGGGCAAAAGCTGGAAGCATTCCCTTTGAAAACTGGCACAAGACAAGGATGCCCTCTCTCACCACTCCTATTCAATACAGTATTGGAAGTTCTGGCCAGGGCAATGGGCCAAGAGAAAGAAAGAAAGGATATTCAGATAGGAATAGAGGAAGTAAAATTGTCTCTGTTTGCAGATGACATGATTACAACTCACAAGGGATATGAAAGACCTCTTCAAGGAGAACTACAAACCACTGCTCAAGGAAATAAGAGAAGACACAAACAAATTTAAAACATTCCATGCTCATGGATAGGAAGAATCAATATCGTGAAAATGGCAATATTGCCCACAGTAATTTATACATTCAATGCTATCCCCATCAAACTACCACTGACTTTCTTCACAGAATTAGAAAAAACTACTTTAAATTTCATATGGAACCAAAAACAGAGGCCATATAGCCAAGACAATCCTAAGCAAAAGAACAAAGCTGGAGGCATCATGCTACCTAACTTCAAACTATACTACAAGGCTACAGTAACCAAAACAGCATGGTACTGGTATCAAAACAGATATATAGATCAACGGAAAAGAACAGAGGCCTCCTCAGAAATAATGCCACATATCTACAACCATCTGATCTTTGACAAACCTGACAAAAACAAGCAACGAGGAAAGGATTCCCTATTTAATAAATGGTATTGGGAAAACTGGTTAGCCATATGCAGAAAACTAAAACTGGACCCCCTCCTTAACATCTTATATAAAAATTAACTCAAGTTGATTAAAGACTTAACTGTAAAACCTAAAACCATAAAAACCCTAGAAGAAAACCTAGGCAATACCATTCAGGACAAAGGCATGGGCAAACACTTCATGACTAAAACACCAAAAGCAATGTCCACAAAAGCCAAAACTGACAAATGGGATCTAATTAAACTAAAGAGCTTCTGCACAGCAAAAGAAAAAATCATCAGAGTGAACAGGCAACCTACAGAATGGGAGAAAGATTTTGCAATCTATCCATCTAACAAAGGGCTAATATCCAGAATCTACAAGGAACTTAAATTTACAAGAAAAAAAAAATTCCACCAAAAAGTGGGCGAAGCATATGAACAGACACTTCTCAAAAGAAGGTATTTATGCAGCCAACAAACACATGAAAAAAGGCTCATCATCACTGGTCATCAGAGAAATGCAAATCAAAACCACAATCAGATACCATCTCACGTCAGTTAGAATGGTCATCAATAAAAAGTCAGGAAACAACAGATGCTGGAGAGGATGTGGAGAAATAGGAATGCTTTTATACTGTTGGTGGGAGTGTAAATTAGTTCAACCATTGTGGAAGACAGTGTGGCGACTCCTCAAGGATCTAGAACCAGAAATACCATTTGACCTAGCAATCCCATTACTGGGTATATACCAAAAAGATTATAAATTATTCTACTATAAAGACACATCACATGCACACGTATGTTTATTGCAGCACTGTTCACAATAGCAAAGACTGGGAACCAACCCAAATGCCCATCAATGATAGACTGGATAAATAAAATGTGGCACATATACCCCATGGAATACTATGCAGCCATAAAAAAGGATGAGCTCATGTCCTTTGCAGGGACATGGATGAAGCTGGAAACCATCATTCTCAGCAAATTAACACAGGAACAGAAAAGCAAACACCACATGTTCTCACTCACAAGTGGGAGATGAACGGTAAGAACCATGGACACAGGGAGGGGAACATCACACACTGGGGCCTGTCAGGGGTTGGGGGGTTAGGGGAGGGATAACATTAGGAGAAATACCTAATGTAGATGACGGGTTGATGGGTGCAGCAAACCACCATGGCACGTGTATACCTATGTAACAAACCTGCACATTCTGCACATGTATCCCAGAACTTAAAGTATAATTTAAAAAAAAGGAAAAAAATTATCTATTGGTTAATTGGCCAAACATTTTCTAATTTAAAACTTAGAAGGATTTTATGTTACAAGCTATTTACTAATACTAAGCTCTTAAACAAGCTTCCTGTAGTATTTTCAAAGAAAAAGTTTAAAAATTAGATAGAAATTTCTACCTGATACCTCTGTCATTCAATGAAAGGCCTTCTCACTCTATTTAAATTTTTTTTTTTTTAAAGGAAGAAGATGGTTAGCTATAATCACTAGTGACCCTTATCCTAATGGGAAATGAGTATGTGCTTCATCCAATTTCTAAAATCAATTCTAAATCTTCTTCCAGAATCACAGCAGATTGGTTGAGAAAATAAATCTGAAAAGGGGAAATCATTTTTTCTTTTTTAGAATTATTATTCTTCTGGCCTATTTTTTCCTTTAGCGACAACTTAGTAAAACAGGCCAATGACTACTTTATATCCACACATGTACCTAGAGTTAGGTTAATAAGTATGATTTCACCTACAGAACTGGAAAGACAGTTGTTCCTTTTTTTTTGAGACGGAGTCTGGCACTGTTGCCCAGGCTGGAGTGCAGTGGCACGAATTCGGCTCACTGTAACCTCTGCCTCCCGGGTTCAAGCAATCTCAGCCTCCCAAGTAGCTGGGATTACAGGCACCTGCCACCAGCCCAGCTATTTTGTATTTTTAGTAAAGACAGGGTTTCACTATGTTGGCCAGGCTGGTCTCAAACTCCTGACCTTGTGATCCGCCCGCCTCAGCCTCCCAAAGTGCTGGGATTACCGGCGTGAGCCACTGGCCGGCCCAATTGTTTTTTTTTTTTCTTTTTCTTTTTTTTTTTTTTTTGAGACGGAGTCTTGCTCTGTCACCCAGGCTGGAGTGTAGTGGTGTGATCTCAGCTCACTGCAATCTCCGCCTCCCGGGTTCAAGTGATTCTCCTGCCTCAGCCTCCTGAGTAGCTGGGACTACAGATGCATGCCACCACGCCCGGTTAATTTTTGTGTTTTTAGTAGAGATGGGGTTTCACCATGTTGGTCAGGCTGGTCTTGAAGTCCTGGCCTCAAGGGGTCTGACTGCCTCAGCCTCCCAAAGTGCTGGGATTACATGCAGAAACCACTGCACCTGCCGATAACTGTTCTTGTTTCACAAAAAGTCCAACCTATAACTCCAGCTGTTTCACTACAATTGTCCCCATGAGAGACCAGTTAGCTTATATACTCAAGTATATAAGCATCACATACACCCAGCTAAGCATACAAAGTTTAGGAAACCATTCCAGATCAGTAACTAGCCATTTGTTTCACTACTTTAAAAACTAGTGTTGTTTCTCCTCCATACTGCACTGCCTTTTTAAAAAGTTTTTTGTTTTTGTTTTTTTTGTTTTTTTTTTTTTTTTTTACAAATTCTACTCTCCTACTATCAGCTTATCCATCAACAACCCTGAGACTTCATACTTCAAACATTAGGTAATAAGAAACTTCTTTCCAGTCTCTTACACAGCAATCTCAGGCTTTTCACCACATATTTAATGATATTTTAATGAAATAGTACACAAAAATCTTAAGATTCTTATCAAATAAGAAATGAGTACGAAAACTATCCTCACAAAATAGCTCATGTTGGAATGTCTGATAAACCCTCAAGAAGTACTTACAGGAAGAAAATTTAGATGCTTTCAAGTTGTCCAGAATCAAAAACCCTAAAAATATACATTCTTATCGACAAAGATAACAAATACACGTAATGATGATGATGACTTCAAAACACTTCAAGAAATCCTGACTCTTTAATTTTATACTTTAACATTTTAAAATGTATAATGTACATATCTAATACATTCCAAATTATTAAGATAATCAGAACATCCATTTAAACTCTCCAATTCCTTATACTCTCAGTTGGTGAGTTTAAGGCCTTCCCGAGCTTATTCAATTATGGATTACAGCAGCATGCAGATCACTTTGCCCAAAGAGACTTTTTAAATTGAATTTTGGGTAAATGAGGGTGTACTAAAAAGTGTGTCGGGAGGAAAGACATCAAGGAACATCCTACGAAGCTCACATCAAATGACATAATTTACGGTAAGTCTTTGAATGCAGAACAAAGACGTGGGAAAGATATTTGGTATTAGTAAGCAGCTCAGAAAAATATTCAACTGCCCAAAACCAAAAAGGTAAACTTTTCTTCCCCTCCTCCACCCAAAAAGGTCTGTAAAAAAATAAGCTAACCCCTTTCAAACATGTCGGATTGTTTCACACGGAGTTATGACTATGCATTTCTGCAAAAATAAAAAACACCTATCCGAAATGCAAATATAATTACAACAGGCTGTCTTGAGATAAAGACTACAATGCATGAAAAACCTACAACGTAAAATACTTCGGGAGCAAAGAGAAAGACAGTCAGAGCTGAGGGGTATGAAGAAAGTCCTTTTTCTCACTTCACCTAATTAATGTCTGCAAGTAAACCAAATTGTGGGGAAATACTTATTTTGAAGAAAGTAAGGAGAGTTTTAAAAAATACAGAAGCTAAGAAAGCTTAGAAAGCTTAAAAAGCACAGAAAACTAAAAGTCTTACAGTACACATAGAAGTGTTGCTATTCTCAAAGAGTCACAATGTTTTAATAATTGTTCAACAAGGATTGTGAGAAATCCACTAGACTACATTACATGCTGCCATCATAAAGAACACACACAAACACACACAAAAGGGACTCATGACAATAACCGCCCTATCATTTAAATGTTTCAGGTAATTGCCACTAATTCCAAAGAGAAATACCATCAATCCAAGTACTTTTGGTCTACAGTTATCTGATCCGTGTACCCGAATGTTACAGTGCCTGATCTATATTAACCCATAGCACCTTTACCGATTACCATCCAGAAGTTATCAATACAAAGCTTTTAAACAAACAAAGACAGTAATCGCAAACAGAATTTGGAGCTCGGCAAGACCTACTTACTGGCAAGTCCACACTAACATCAGTACCATCCAGAAGGGACACCCGACACGTGATGATGGACTTAGAATCTCCAGCTGCAGGAATATGTGTGGCTGCGCGTTGTGCTTCTCGGAGTCGTTCCTTTTCTGCATGTTTACGCATAGACCGACGCCCCAGTGTTCTACGGAAGAAACTCAGCATTTTTGTCACTATAAAAGCAGAGAGAAAAAGATGGCATCAGCAAAAAAATGAGATTCTCAACAACTTGCAGTCAGTCAAACGGCATTATTTAGTCAAGTCCTGTGCACATTAGTAGAAATGCTATTAAAAAGGCCTCCTGGGCTGGGTGCAGTGACTCACGCCTGCAATCCCGTTTTGGGAGGCCCAGGCAGCAGGAATACTAGAGTCCAGGAGTTCAAGACCAGCCTGGGCAACACAGTGAGACCTAATCACTACTAAAACTAAAATTACCCAAGTGTGGTGGTGCATACCTGTGGTCCCAGCTACTTGAGGGGCTATGAGGCAGAAGGATCACTTGACCCCAGGCAGTGAAAGCTGCAGTGAGCTGGGATTGCACCACTGCGTTCTAGCTCGGGCAACAGAGCAAGACCCTGTCTCGAAAAATCAGCAAATAAAACAAAAAATAAACAGGGCTCCTGGTCAAGTAAATCTGAAAAAAATCACTAAAACTGACTACTTTTAATAAATATTTCAAGAGATATTATACATGATAAATATACACAATTTTTGTCAATTAAAAAGTTAATTAATTTAAAAAGCTGGTTACTTTAATTCAAAGTTTTAAAAGACTTGTATGTATAAGACATAGCCATGGTTTGTTTGGAGCTTTCTAAATTTACTGGACCATTTTATCAGGAACTGATTTGGCAGGAGAAGGCAAACATTCATGAAGTCCATCAGGTCTTCTAAAAAGATAAATTATATGTACAACATCTTATATATCCTAAGATGATGTCAGACACTAAGGTATCCTTTGATGATCATAAAAATCCTGAGAAGTGGTTGGGCGTGATGGCTCACGCCTGTAATCCCAGCACTTTCGGAGGCCAAGCCGGGTGGATCACGAGGTCAGGAGATCGAGACCATCCTGGCTAACACGGTGAAATCCCAACTCTACTAAAAATACAAAAAGTTAGCCGGGCGCAGTGGTGGGCGCCTATAGTCCCAGCTACACGGGAGGCTGAGGTAGGAGAATGGCGTGAATCCAGGAGGCGGAGCTTGCAGTGAGCTGAGATCGCGCCAACTGCACTCCAGCCTGGGCGACAGAGCGAGACTGTCTCAAAAAAAAAAAAAAGTCCTGAGAAGTTCCATTTCTTTTCTGAGCATTCACAATAAAAATATAAAAACAATCACCTATTTCAGCTAAAATACAAATTCAAATTTCCTAAGTTTTGTCAAATATTCTATTACATACCGATTTTAAATAACTACTTAACATAAATCTTTTTAATGTCAAAGTACTTTAACGCTACTTTTTTCCTTATCTCTATAAAGAACATTAATGTTAATCAAAACACTTAAAACGGGTTTTAAAACATAGCACACTAAATGGAAACACAAAATCAAAGTCACTTTGCTATCCTAATATGTTTCATTTGCACAACAAAGAGAGTTTAAGTACACATAAGCCAACAAACAGCCAAAAAGACTATTAATTCCAAACGAAACAACAAGCTGTGCAGAAAAGGAAAAGTAAATCACAATACACTAGATGACTCAGCTGCTAATGATTTAAATGTCAAACACTAAATATTGAGCAAACAATAATTAACTACAACAGAGAGAAGGCACATAATAAGAGGTGGGGGATACAGACATGAAAAGAGTTAATTCCTCATCATGCGTAACAACAAGCCAACAGGTCATCACTAAAATTAAAACATCAAGAACTAGCAGTAAGAGCATTTGACTTAAAATGTGAAAATGACTGCCTTGGGAGAGGGAGTAGAAGAATTCAGAAGAATGCTGTTTTTCAAGAGAAGCCTTCGGATTAAATGACTTTTTCAACTAGATTTATTTATAAACCTGATAAAATCCAATTTTTAAGATACTACCATATTAAAATGTCTATACACCGAAGATTAACCTACACATTTTATACAAGTATACTCTTGTGTAATTAGGTAAACTAATCCCAAGGAGATAACTAAAATTTTAGTTAGGTAACTTTCCAGTGTGCCAAACACTCATATATAACACCTGGTCCCACTCTCTTTCCAGATATTTCTCCCTTTGGAATTTGCTATCCAGTCTCATTTCAGCTGCCTAAGACAGTACTTGTTATCCCAGCTTTCTAAAATCCTGTGTCACAGAATCCCTACATATTCCTTTTAACTCCACCAATATCTCCCAAGAAACATTTTATGATATCCCACCACTGCACTCCAACCTGAGAGTGAGACGCTGTATCAAAAAAAAAAAGAGCATGATATGAAAAACTCCTAAAAGATAATTTGAAAGATGTTCATAAAAACGAACACCTTTAACAGTATCCAAGAAGATCCAAATGAAAAAAATAAGATACTGTCTGTCATTTGAAGACTCAAGATAGTGTTAAAAAGAACGTGAGAAAAAATAATCCTCATACATTGGCCTTTTTTGGAGGGAGATTTGCCCGTGCTATGAATATTTTAAAAAAAATTTTTTTTTTTTTGAGACAGTCTCACTCTTGTTCCCCAGGTTGGAGTGCAATGGCACGATCTTGGCTCACTGCAACCTCTGCCTGCCAGGTTCAAGCGATTCTCTTGCCTTGGCCTCCCCAGGAGCAGGGATTACAGGCACCAGCTACCACGCCCAGCTAATTCTTGTACTTTTAGTAGATACTGGGTTTCACCAGGTTGGCCAGGCTGGTCTCAAACTCCTGACCTCAGGTGATCCACCCGCCTCGGCCTCCCAAAGTGCTGGGATTACAGGCGTGAGCCACCTCACTGGGCCAATATTAAAAATTTTAACATGCATACTCCTTACTCAACAGTTCTATTTCTGGAAGGATAACCTAAAGAAAAAAAAAAATCACACCTGTGCTTTAAGTTGTAGGAACAGGATTTTTCGGGGCATAACTGATTTACGAAAATTTTAAATATGTTCATCAATGTGCAAACAGTTAAACAAGTTATGGTACACACAATGGCATACAATACAGTTGTTTTATTTTTATTTATGTATTTATTTATTTATTTTAGAGACGGTCTCTCACTCTAGCATCCAAGGCTCACCAGGGCCTTCATCTACCATGCTCAAGGGATTCTCCCACCTAGGGCTACAAGCACATGCCACCCCACCCAGCTAATGGTTTTTTAAGCTATTTTTTGGTAGAGACAGGGTACTGCTACTTAGCCAGGTTTGTCTCAAACTCCTGGCCTCAGGGAATCCTCCCACCTCAACCTCCCAAAGTGCTGGGATTACAGGCATGAGGCACCAAGCCCAGCCATAATACAGTTGTTTTAAATAAATACTTGACTTAGATATGACAACATTTGTAAGTGAAAAATCAAACCACAGAACACTGAAGAGTTTTATCCTACAGTGAGGTGGGATCCATGCACACACACACACACACAGACGCTAAACAGACACACTCGTAAACTGTTAAGTGAGATTCTCTCTGAAGAGGGACAAGTCAGAGGTCACAACAAGAATATATGGCCGGGTACAGTGGCTCACATCTGCAATCCTGGCACTCTGGGAGGCTAAGTCAGGACGACCGTTGGAGGCCAGGAGTTCAAGACCTGCTTGGGCAACATAGCAAGATCCCATCTATTTTTTTTTTAATGGAAAAAACCACAATAATATATGAATGAGTCATTAAAAGTTGTGGGGATTTTTTTTTATGACTGTGAAAAAAGTTTCCTCATACTCACTTTTCCCTTCCCACCTGCACTCTCCCAACTCCACTCTTGATGTCGCAGCCACTGGATTCTTGGCAACCACAAATCTGATCCCTATTCCAATATCTTTAATGGCCCTGGTCCTAGATGCAGCTCCTCCTACTTGCCTGACCCATCTGTCAGCCTACTCCCGACTGTTTGCTCTGCTCTTGTACTCTTTCTGCTCGGCCCAAGAGTCTTCTTAATTCTGGACCATTTTTCATTAGCTGTTCCACCTTTCTGGAATGCTCTTTTTCCACTTCCCCTCTCTTCCACCCGCTCCCACTTCACTGGACTAACTTCAGACTTATAGTCGAAATGTCTTAGTCTCAGAAAAACAGAATCTCAGACTTGTGAGTCTAAATTCGATGTCCCTTTTAGTCCTCTTAGCCTTTTCTTTATAACAAAAAAATTGTAATTCAATACCTGTTAATTATTTTTTCACTGGCTACTTCCCCCATTCACACACAGGGACAAAGATTTCGTCTGGCTTGCTCACTACTGCGGCCCAACAGCTGGCTTAACAACCCGCATATCAGCCACTCAATAAAAAACTCGCCTGACACACTAGAATGACAGTGGAATTTTTGGATGGTAGGTTCATGTGGCTTCCAAAAAAACAGCTGTTTCTACTCTAGCTCCTAACTAGAAGGATTTCCTTTGGAATCATAAAATGCAAATTTAAGCAATCCTAACAGAAGTTGGTTAAAAGAAGTATCCAAAACCCAAAAGTTACTCATGAAATATGTATACTCTTACATGACTGGTGGCCACAATACGGTAATTGCTTTTTGATAAAGCAATATACAGCAAATGCCATGAAGGTACCACCATATTTTGTCCCAGCAATCCCAATAAAGAAAATGCAAGCGAGGAATTCAACAGCAGTTACGCCTATCGCTTTCGAATGAAGTTAGCCTATTTTCCAAAACCTGCACACTATCTTACATGCACAAATAACCCAACAAGGTTAACTAGAGCTCAGCAACAGGTTACGTTAGAAACTGAGTTAATGCAGTTGTGGGTTACATTAGAAATGTACACAGTTATGGGAATTTTCCCCGTAATTCTTTAAAAAATTTTAATACTAGTCTAAAACATTGCCAAACGTTTTAAGACTCGGGTCTCGCTCTTAGGTAGAATTCAAGTAACCACAGAGACAATTAACATTTACACACCAAAGAACCCATCATTAGCACGACAAACGCCCCGGGTGGGGGCGGGCGCTTCAGACCTCGCCTTTCCGGGGAACACACCTGCCTCTCCTTTCCCAAGAAGCTGAAATTTTACTCAAATACAAATCAGCTCGAAAAGTTCACCAAAACCGTGACACAAACTCAGTTCGTTATTCCCCCTCCCTTGCGACTTTTGTCTCTCCCGCTGGACGGCAGCCCCGCGGACCGGCGAGGGGTGCCCGCGGCCCCAGGAGCGCGTCCGCCCGGCAAACATTAACCCGGCTGCCCCGGGCCCTCCGCTCCGGCCCGTCGCGCGGTATCGACCGAAACTCGGCGGCCCTGCCTCATTGGCCGCCGCCGCCCCTCCCTCCGGCGGGATTAATGCCCTGCCGGCCCGACGAGCCAAGGACCGGCCGCCCTAAGGTCTGGGCGCGGCCCCCGCCCGCCTCCCCGGGGACAAGGCCGCCACCGCAGGCGCGGGCGAGGAGGGGTCCGTTCGGCTGGGAGGGCAGCGGGCTGTACCGCGGCGCCGCCGGGCCTCGCGCTTACCTGAGCGGGGACGGCGCGGCCCCGGCGACCAGAGGGGAAAAGAGCCGAGCAAGGCTGAGGAAGGGGCGACTCCTCGGGAGACGCCGAGAAATGGCGCCCACAGCGAGCCCACCGGCTCTAATCCCCGGAGGACCCCGACCTCCCGCCCGTCCGCCCCTTAAAGCTCCCTCCCAGCTCCGCCCCCAGGGCGGAGCGCTCCGCTCTTAAACGGGCGATGACACCGCCCCGGAAACTGGCTGGCAGGGCGACTGGAGAAAAACCGGCGACGCCGGGCCGGGCCCGGCTGGAACTACCGCCTGCAGCCGGGCGTCCGCGGCTGGTTTAATGGGGCGCTGCCGAAACCCAGCTCTCGCTGCGGCCCTCCGCCCGCGGAGGAGGTGCTCGCCCGCAGACAGACCCCAAGTTAGTCCTATCACGAAGGAGGCTGGTGGAGCTGACTGCTGGATCTTCGTTCAAGAGATTAATTGCTTCGCAAATACTTACTGAGAGCTTGTCATGTATTTCCTCCCTTTTTCTTCTTTGCAGGGATTAAAATACATTTAAATCTCTGCTATTAAAGTAACTTTCACTCTACTGGGGAGAGAAACAGTAAACAAATAGGTGTTAAAGGTGATTGAGTATAAACAAAGAAAAATAAAACTGGGAAAGAGAAATAGAAGATTACTGCTTAACAGACTGTGGTGGTGGCGGGGTACTCTCCAATAAGGTGACATTCAGTCCATTCATTCTACAGGTAATTTATTGAAGTGCCTACTATGGGTTCTGTGTTCTAGACACGAGATACGACAGACAACCAAGACAGGCAAAAATCCTTCCTGGAGTTTATGTTATAGCAGAAATATAAATGAGACAGAAAATAAACGAGATAAATTAGTGAAATTAAATACTGTTAGACATTGGTAAATGCTAAAGAGAAAAGTAGAAGTAGGGAATAAGGACAGGGAGTGAGGGTTTGCGATTTTACACAGACAGCAGGTCTCAATAAGAAGGTGGCATTTGGCTGGGCGCGGTGGCTCACGCCTTTAATCCGAACACTTTGGGTGGCCAAGGCGGGCGGATCACGAGGTCAGGAGATCGAGACCAGCCTGGCCAACATTGTGAAACCCCGTCTCTAGTAAAAATACAAAAATTAGCCAGGCGTGGTGGCATGGGCCTGTAGTCCCAGCTACTCAGGAGGCTGAGGTGGGAGAGTCGCTTGAACCCGGGAGGCGGAGGTTGCAGTGAGTCCAGATGACACCACTGCACTCCAGCCTGGTGACAGAGCCAGACTCAGTCTCAAAAAAAAAAAAAAAGGAAGGTAGCATTTGAGTGAAGACCTACAAGAAGTGTGGGAGGAACCCTGTGGCCATCTGGGGAGGATCAAAGGGAAGAGCAAGGGCAAAAGGCCCTGCAAGGGGACAGGTCTGTCTGTTGAAGGAAGGCCTTTGTGGCTAGAAGTGAGGAAGCAAGAGGAAGAGGAGGAGGAGGTGACAGTCAGAGAGGAAAGGGGTAAGATGGAGGGCCTTGTGGGCCCTGGCCAGAGCTCTGAGAGAGGTGGGGGAGCCACTGGAAGGTGTAACCTTGAGGACCCTCTGCTGGCTGAAATGAAAACAGATAAATACTCATTGAGCTTCTTCTGGGGATTTGGCACTGCCCACTCCTCCACCACCCCAAAACGTAGTAGACAGGCTTGGCAGCTCATCTCTGCCCCGTGTGGTGTTGGCTGGGCAGCTCAACAGGTGCTGGAGCTGCCAAGGTGGTTTCACTGGTCTGTGTGGCATCTCCGCTGGGGTGGCTCAAAAGAACAGCTGGATTCTGCCTGGGCTACTCTCCTGCAGGTCCGTTGGTATGGCAAAACAGTGAAAACAGAAGCTCCGGGGCCGATGAAGGGCTATGCCCAGCAGTCACAGAGCGTCCCTTCTGCTACCTGTTAATGGTTTAAGCAAATCACAGAGATTCTACCTCTTTGTTTTCTTTAAATATTATTAAAATAGAGAAATTTTTCTTCTCTACCTTTTAAAAGCATCTTTATTGAGATATAATTCACCCACTTAACGTGTACACTTCCATGGCTTTGGGTATCTTCACAGAGTTGTACAACCACAATCTGATTGTGGAACATTTTCATCACTCTTCATTAGAGGAGCAGCATGGGTTTTCAGGGATGGGAGCAATTGTTGGTGGTCATCTTGCATCTTTATCTCAATAAAAAAAAGATATGGCAGGGGGAAGCAGCGAAGGTATCGATGAAACAAGAATGGGCCATGAACTGAGGCTGGGTGACAGGGACATTAAACTATTCTATCTAAAATGTTTCACAATAAAGTCCTTTAGACCGAGCATGGTGGCTCATGCCTGTAATTCCAGCACTTTGGGAGGCCGAGGCGGGAGGATCACTTGAGGTAGGAGTTCGAGACCAGCCTGGCCAACATGGTAAAACCCCATCTCTACTAAAAATACAAAACTTAGCGGGGTGTGGTGGCACGTGTTTGTAATCCCAGCTACTCGGGAGACTGAGGCAGGAGAATCGTTTGAACTTGGGAGGTGGAGGTTGCAGTGAGCTGAGATTGCACCATTGCACTCCAACCTGGGTGACAGAGACTCTGTCTGGAAAAAAAAAAAAGTATTTTTAAAAATACCTCCTGGACACCTGTAATCCCAGAACTTTGGAAGGCCAAGGCTCAAGAGTTCTAGCTCAGGAGTTTGAGACTGGCCTGAGCAACATGGTGAAAATCATCTCTACTAAAAATACGAAACTTACCCAGGTGCAATGGCCTGCACCTGTAGTCCCAGCTACTCGGGAGGCTGAGGCAGGAGAATCGCATGAATTCAGGAGGCGGAGGTTGCAGTGAGCTGCTATCTCTGCACTGCACTCCAGCCTGAGCAATGGGAGTGAAACTCTGTCAAAAAACAAAAACAAAAACCCACCTGGGCCACATACCCCTGAAAAGCATTCCTTCTTCCCCGGGGTCTGATTAGCCAGTTTGAAAACTACGGGGTCTTCAGTGCCATCTCCTCAGCCTGTACAGGCTGTCTCTCTTTATGTTTACCTGATGTTTACTCATTTGAAAAGTTCGGGTTTATCTGATTACAGATCAGAAATGGAAGCACATTCTGTCAATACTTATAAACATATCTTATTCTCCTAAATTGTCGGAAAGCATACCAGTTTTGAAAAACAGTGTCCTCCTCATCCATCCTGCTCAATCTTTTTTTCTGTCCCCTATCAAAGGTGGAACTGGAGCCGGGCACGGTGGCCCATGCCTGTAATCCCAACACTTTGGGAGGCTGAGGCAGGTAGATCACCTGAGGTCAGGAGTTTGAGACCAGCCTGACCAAAAAGGTGAAACCCTGTCTCTACTAAAAATACAAAAATTATCCAGGAGTGGTGGTGTGTGTCTGTAGTCCCAGCTACTTGGGAGGCTGAAGCAGGAGAATCGCTCGAACCCAGGAGGCAGAGGTTGCAGTGAGCTGAGATTGCGCCACTGCATTCTAGCCTGGGTGACAGAGCAAGACTCCATCTCAAAAAAAAAAAAAAAAAAAAAAAAAAAAAAGATGGAATTGAAAGAGGCTGTGGATGAGGTTAGAGAAATCCATTGAGAAAGATGGTTATAGGCTAAAGGAAATATGAAGACTTGAGGAAAGGAGGATGAAACTTAAGGGGCCCAAGTAATAGAAAATTGTTCATGTTCTAATTATGCGAAATTATTCCTAAAAACAAGTCATCGTCTCCCCAAATCCTCTCTCCCAGACATAGGGGCCCTCTGCCACCCATGTTTTGTAGTAAATTCCCCCAGAAAATTGACTTCCACCAGAGACAGAGAAAGACCTCTCCTTAAAGATAGCTGTATCAAGGAAAAATGCATTTGGCTGGAAGTAATGGGAAATTTTAACTGTTATTTGAACAAATAAGGAGTTTATTTTTCTCACATAAGTAATCTAGAGGTAGGTGGCTGTTAGTCCTGGTTCTGCTCCTCAACAATGCCGTAAGGATCCTAAACCCCTTTACCATTTCTGCTCTGCCACCCTTAGCATGCTGACTTTGGTTTTCATGCTTCTAGCCTACTGGCCACAGGATGGATGCTTATCTCCAGCTCTCTTGAGTTTCAGGAATAAAAGGGAAGGGGAAAAAGACCTTTACCTGAAGCCTTGTCTTTGAATCAGAGAAGAAAGTACCAGCACCCCCTGTCTCCGGCCAGAACTACACGACCTGCCCTTACTCAGGCCAATTAAAGGCCATAGGGAAAGAGAATACCATGATTGGCTTTGACCAATCAGAATTCACTCTTGGGAGCTGGAGCTCAAGGGCTCTCCTTAACTTTTTGAACAAATCCAAATTCTATTAGCCTCAAAGAGGGGACGTTGCTGAGACAAATAACTGTGGTAGCTATAGAAGGTGCCTACTGGCCTGGCACGGCGGCTCACACCTGTAATCCCAGCACTTTGGGAGGCTGAGGTGGGCAGATCATGAGGTCAGTAGATCGAGACCATCCTGGCCAACATGGTGAAACCCTGTCTCTACTAAAAAAATACAAAAATTAGCTGTGCATGGTGGCGGGTGCCTGTAGTCCCAGCTACTCAGGAGGCTGAGGTAGGAGAATCACTTGAACACCAGAGGTAGAGTTGCAGTGAGCCAAGATTGCACTACTGCACTCCAGCCTGGCAACAGAGCAAGACTCCGTCTCAAAATAAAAAAAAAAAAAAAAAAAGGAGGTGCCTATCACAACCCACTTCCTAATGGCATTGTCTTGGCCCATGGAAAGATTTTCTTTTATTGAACTAATATACTGAACGAATACCCTCATTTGAGATTTTCACTTCTATCCTAGGTCCTGGTTTGCTCTCTGGTTCCACACAGAAAGGGATATATCCAGTTTTGTGAAACTCATATACTGTAATTTGGTGGTGGGGGAAGAAGTCTTTCATTGAAATAACACAAATTTAAAGATTCAAAATTAGGTACAAGGTCTTAGAAGGGGGCTACACAGTAGCCCTAAAGCTTAAACCAGATTATCTTCACAGTAAATCTACCTCTACCCCTAAGAAAAATCATAATCTCTCTTTCACATCACAACCCTTTAAATAATTGAAGACACTTGTCCCAAGCCTGCAAAATCTTCTCTTGTTCTGATTTCCAGGCTCTTTGCTTCCTTAGTCAGCCTTCTCTGAACTGGTCCACCCTGGTGAGGCCATTCATT